TTTCATTGCTCATGAATATTAATTTATGCAAATAAGACGATTATTTTAACCAATCGTGTCATGCAACTCCCCCCCCCCCTGGTGTGGTGGGCGTTAACAATATTCGTCTAGCCATTGAAAACGTATTCTTTAGATAGGTGATTTTCCGTACAATTGCGAGATCTCGCGAGATGCATGAAAGACGCGCGTCGAACGTCTGCCGCAAAAATCGAACGATTTGATTTTGAACTAGAATTTCTTTATTTCGTAGCTTACATTGACCGGCCGATCTTCGACAGAGGAATTTTGCTTCCGAATACCCTTACTTAATTGAAATTGTCTATCATCAAATCTGGACAGCACATTGTTAAGCATGGAAATGCCCCCAAAATACTTTCGCGTTTGTCGAATCCCACGCGATGTTTGACGCGACTACGACACTATGACCTTTGTTTGTCCTGTTTTTACGTTCGATTTCACGCATAACGCGTGATTCTCGCAGTGTACGGAAAATGGTCTATTCACCTGTATTGCAGACATCTTTGAATGACTATTATTTTCCCTTTTAAAGTTAAATAATTTTAGACCGCCTTGCGAAAGCGGGTATTTTGTGTCCCAGTCGTATATCGTATTTTATCGTCGATGACAAAACTCGACTTGAACTTGACCTGAAAAAACGCAAAAAATAAGGAAATGCTACCATGGTTCATAACCAAAACCGAAAGCAAGCAACTGAATTTTATAGTTTAACGTTAAATATTTTCTGCGAATTTCGTGGTCATCCAATGTATTCATAATTTGAATAACATGGTAGGTATATTGACAGGCGTGCAAGATAATGTAGCGTAAATGTTTAAGGATGTAGTAGAGGTTATTGCTATTGCAATTGCATAGCACATTTCTGAAGTAACATATTCTTTGAATACCATCAAGTTATATATTTTTAGAAAGCTTATTTTTCAAATAATATGAAATAAATATTGCAACAAAAAAATGGTACCCTGTAATCACGCGATCACTGTGCAAATAGAGAGGTGTTATTTTCAAAGAAACCGAAATAAGGCCACAGAAATGATGTTCGCGGAATTCAGAGATACTATAGAAGGTTTGAATTTAATTTCCCAGTATGTCTACTGTTGCGTGACCTAGCTTTTTACCTCATAACGCTTTTTAAAAACATCAACAACGTTGTTTTGAAATATGGTACCCTGTTTCAGAGTTCACATAGGGGAGAGTTGTGTCGTATTTTCTAAAGTCAAAGTGGTAGACAAACTATCTTTGCCAGATTTCATTAGCAGCTATCAGAGAATACCTATGCCAAAAATCACCATCGTGGAGCAGCTGGGAGTCGAGATCAACTCTCTAGACTAACCCTAAATACCAATGTTCACTTAAGCGTGAAAAATCACAAAAAATATAAAACACATTGTATCTCAGATTTATTCAAAATACCAATGTTCACTTAAGCCTAAACCATCTATACAATTGTTTTTTCAAGTTAAATGCATGCTTCATATATTCGTATAAGAGAATATGGGAAAAATAGTAAATTTGATATTTTCAAAGAAAAAACCTCTACTACATCCTTAAAAATAAATACGAAATGTAACACTGTGTTAGCTCGCACAGAACACCACAGCGCGAGAATGTGCGTACACTGCGCGAGGTCTGTACACTATACTAGGAGTACCATTTCTCCATTTCTCGTCTCTGTGGTGCAATTTACTGACTACGCAATAGCTCCAACCAGCCGCATATATATACCGGATTAATGCCAACTCGTATTTTACTCACCCAGTTCCGTAAATTATTGTCTATGTTGAAAAAGACTTGGCCTTACCTGTGTCACGCTCTGTCATTTAATCCGTGCTGAATTCAAGTTCGTGCTCCAGTACCAGAGGCAGTCGCATCAATTCTACTACATTCGCTGATTGCTATACTAAAAAAACACGAGTATTTTCTACGAAATCGCTTGCCCAGGTACAACTCACTGCTTCATTGTATTCACCCAGCTGACAGTTTCCGCACCATTTGGCGCAGGTTTAGCTGTTGCCGATCTGTTATTGTTACCTTACTGGTCACGTGACTACTTATTCCAGGTAATTGTGACTCGTCGTTGCTCGCCCGCCGGTTCCAAGTACACAGGATGAGCAGACAAATTGATTAAGGTGTTCATGTGAAGGTCATGTGATTTTCTACGTAATCGTTGACTAGTACACTTCTGTTTACATTAGCTTTTCATCAACGTATATGTTATTCGTGCCCGTCCAGTTTGTCACATTCGGTTGAAATCAAGGTCACTCGCCGTTGTCTTACCGCCGTTGTCTTACGGGCCGCATCCCTCCTATGCCCCATGTAACACAATGGCATACGCCTGTGGCCGCCTACATGAAATCACGTTTATTTTTAGAAATTACGTCACGAATAAACAGATGATAAGACGACTGATCGAAGGTGAGCCTGCCTTCATTCAATTCCGGTTCAAACCAAACACTGAGGACAACACAGTATTTTATTTCCCTTTGTAAATGATGTCCACGATTATTTAACATGTAACGCTAAATACATATCGGAGTGGGTCATATTTTGGGTTCTTGTCAATATCGTGAAATATCCTGCCGGGCCATGTAATTAATATTTGACCATAAATTATACCAACTAAAAATTTGGAACAAATAATTTCTCCTATAGCGACCAATGAGTAAACAAATTATGTATTTACATGTAATACTCAAACTGGATTCCTTTATTTTATTTTATTCTTCGTTCGATGTTTTTCCCTGTATATATTATATCTGCCCGTGCAGAAATTATAATCAATGTATATACAAAGGCCCTTCCAGGTCAACGACACAGTACTTCACGCGGAATAGAAGATTTACAGCAAGAAACCAAAGTCCAAAACGCAGAGTTCGAGCCGCACTGATCAAATAACACAGCTCATGGTTAATTCACTGACACTTCCGTACACATATTTGTATATTTGTTGGTGTTTTCATTCCTTGAAAGATGACAAGTTTTGACTATGGATAATCAAGACGATTTTAAATGAATTTTAAAAACCTGGATGCAAATAGCTGACCGCTATATGGGACGCGTGTCCCAATTTGAAGCTATGCAAAATCCTAACGTTTAATTTTGTACAATAATAATGCCACTTAACCGGCTTGTCTATTTGCAGACTTTTTCAGTCGCATTTCACTGTCGGTGTTACTAATTACCTCGATCTTAATCATCTCTGTATCCTTGCACATAATAAAGGGCGCTGGTCGTCGCTCCACGCATGCGCGAGATACAAGACTCGTGTGAACAAAGATGGCGACTTTGACTGTTGCGCAGGCCATGGAGGTAAAAAGATGCGCAGACCAACAAGTAAAACTCAGTGTTGCC